GCTTAACTTTTTGTGGAACTGCCACTTTTCCAAAGTGGGTACACCATTTCACTAGAGGCTAAATTTTAATATTCATTACACTCTTCAGGATCTGACTCTTGCCTCCCATCTTTTTTTCCTGTCTTTTGCCACAAGCAGTAGCTCCACCAGTAAATACCACTCATAGCTTTCTCATGCACACCATACTGTTTCTTGCCTCTGGGCCTTTATTTCTGCTTCAACTGCCTGGAAAGCCTGTTAGCCTCCACTCCTTTAAGACAACTCAGCCGGGCGCGGTGGCTCAAGCCTGTAATCCCAGCACTTTGGGAGGTGGAGACGGGCGGATCACGAGGTCAGGAGATCGAGACCATCCTGGCTAACACGGTGAAACCCCGTCTCTACTAAATATTACAAAAAACTAGCTGGGCGAGGTGGCGGATGCCTGTAGTCCCAGCTACTCGGGAGGCTGAGGCAGGAGAATGGCGTGAACCCGGGAGGCGGAGCTTGCAGTGAGCTGAGATCCGGCCACTGCACTCCAGCCTGGGCAACAGAGCGAGACTCCGTCTCAAAAAAAAAAAAAAAAAAAAAAAGACAACTCAGTGGTCACCTCTTCTCTAAAGCCATTCTCCTTCCCATTCCTGCTTCCTCAGGAAAATATAGGTGTTTCTTCCTCTCTACACCTATACACATAGATGTTAACAAACTTTGAATGTCACGACATACTGGGTTTCATAACTATGCTTCTTCATCTGCCTCCTGCACTGGGTGAATTCTTTTTTCCTTTTTTTTTTTTAAGGCAGGATCTTGCTATGTTGCCCAGGCTAGAATGTGGTGACATGATCTCAGCTCACTGCCACCTCCACCTGCTGGGCTCAAGCCATCCTCCCACCTCAGCCTCCTGAGTAGCTGGAATTACAGACACGTGCCATCATGCCCAGCTAATTTGTTTTTTGTATTTTTTTAACAGAGATGGGGCTTTCACCATGTTGGCCAGGCTGGTCTCGAACTCCTGACCTCAAGTGATCTGCTCACCTTGGCCTCCCAAAGTGCTGGGATTACAAGCATGAGCCACTGCTCCTGGCCTCAAGACCTCATTCTAATACCATCTTTTCAATAGATACCTTTTCTGATCATCCCCTCAGCAAAAAACAAAACAAAACAAAACCAAAAAAAACCCCAAACAAACAAACAAACAAACACCACTCTCATGGGACTCACTTTCATCATATTTAAATTCACATTTTGTTTACATACACATCTCTTCTTTTTTCTTTTTTCCAGTCTTGCCCCTGCATAAACTAGATGAAGCTGCTGCCAATTTAACCAAGTGGGAATCCCAGTGCTAACTGTCTGTTGGATGGAATATCTTTATTGGAGCAGATTAACATAGCTTCACATTTGTGGTTTGTGACCACTGATTTAGCAAATACATTGTTTTTCTTTCTCTTTTTTCTTTTGAGACAGGGTCTCGCTTTGTTGCCTAGGCTGAAGTGCAGTGTCGCAAGCTTGGCTCACTTTAGTCTCAACTCTCCAGGCTGAAGCAATCCTTCCGCCCAGCCTCTGCTGTAGCTGGGTCTACAGGCACATGCCACCAACCCCCGGCTAATTTTTTTTTTTTTTTTAGAGACAGCATTTCACCATATTGCCCAGGCTGATCTCAAATTCCTGGGCTCAACTGATCCTCTTGCCTCAGCCTCCCAAAGTGGAATTACAGGCGTGAGTCACTGCACCTGGCGAACATTCTTTTCTTTTTTGTTTTTTTCCTTTGAGACAGAGTTTCACTCTTGTTGCCCAGGCTGGAGTGCAATGGCGCGATCTTGGCTCACTGCAACCTCCGCCTCCCGGGTTCAAGCGATTCTCCTGCCTCAGCCTCATGAGTAGCTGGGATTACAGGCATGCGCCACCATGCCCAGCTAATTTTGTATTTTTAGTAGATGGGGTTTCTTCATGTTAGTCAGGCTAGTCTCGAACTCCTGACCTCAGGTGTTCCACCCACCTCGGCCTCCCAAAGTGCTGGGATTACAGGTCTGAGCCACCGTGCCCAGCCAACATTCTCTCCTAAAGCATCAAGAGGATGGTCAGAAGCAGTCCACCACAGAGGGGATGAACAACAGTGTACAGTCATGGTCTTTCATCAGGGCTATGTTAATTCTGTTCTCTGTCATGATGTAATGTTAAAAATGTGGATCATTTGCACATTCTGCAGAGTATCACATTGGTCTACCATCTTGTAACTTTACATCCTTCAGGCTTTTTTTTTTTTTTTTTTTTAAAGACAGAATCTCCCTCTGTCACCCAGGCTGGATGGAGTGCATGGTGCAATCTCGGCTCACTGCAACCTCTCTCGTTTCCTGGATTCAAGCAATTCTCCTGCCTCAGCCTCCTGAGTAGCTAGGATTACAGGCACACACCACCATACCTGGCTAATTTTTTTGTATTTTTAGTACAGATGGTGTTTCACCATGTTGGCCAGGATGGTCTCAATCTCCTGACCTTGTGATCCGCCCACTTAGGCCTTCCAAAATGCTGGGATTACAGGTGTGAGCCACCAGACATCTTTTAAGTAGAATGAAGACTACTTAAGAGGTAAGAACCAACTCTACCTTGGTGATTTTTGTTCCTCCAAATATCCTTGCACATAGTAATTCAGTATTTATTGAAAGAAAACGTTATATACTATTTCATACCACAAACAACATTGTTCTGTCTTTGAATACAAAACCTTTTGTATGTTTGAACCAGGAAATATTCTATAAATGCCTGTTGGCCTATTAATTTTCTCTTCCCTAACAATCAGATACTCTACCAAGATATGTAGATATCTTCTTCAGGGCACCTTGCACTTAGCACAGTCCCAAATATTTTATTTTCTCCACTCTAGTACCACCAAATCATGTAAAGTATCACAGTCATTCACATTTCACATCAACCTCTCCATTCTCATGCATAGCTCCTTCCAGCCACCCCTCTGAAAACTGACTCTCCAAAACATTTCCCTAAGACCCAGGATCATGTTTTCATATATACCCATCAATCCATTTATCCAAAACCCACCTGTAATTTAACAAGTACTCTTTTTTATTAAAGATGGAGTCTTCCTATGTTCCTAAGGCCGGCCTCCAACTCCTGGTTTCAAGGGATCCTCCCACCTCAGCCTGCAGAGTAGCTGGGATTATAAGTGTGCACCAACCGCCATGCCCCACAAGTATTTATTAATCTAACATCATTTTTATAGAGTTTTTGTTTTTTTAAACATAGAGATGGGGTCTTGCTATGTTGCCCAGGCTGGTCTTGAACTCCTGGCTTCAAGCAATCCTCATGCCTTCGCCTCCCAAAGTGTTGGAATTACAGGTGTGAGCCACTGCACCCAGCCCTAACTTCACTTTTTTTTTTTTTTTTTTTTTTTTTTGAGACAGAGTCTCACCCCAGTTGCTCAGGCTGGAATGCAGTGGCACGATCTCAGCTCACTGCAGCCTCAAACTCCTGGGCTCAGGTGATCCTCCCACCTCAGCCTCTTGAGTAGCTGGGACTACAGGCACACAGAAGCATGAGTAGCTGGGACTACAGACATGCAGAACCATGCCCAGCTAACTTTTTTTTTTCTTTTTTTCGAGACGGAGTCTCGCTCTGTCGCTCAGGCTGGTGTGCAGTGGCACTTATCTCGGCTCACTGCAAGCTCCGCCTCCCGTGTTCAAGGGATTCTCCTGCCTTGGCCACCGGAGTAGCTAGGATTACAGGCGCCCGCCACCACGCCCGGCTAAATTTTTTTTTTTTTTGAGACAGAGTCTCGCTCTGTCCCCCAAGCTGGAGTGCAGTGGCGCGATCTCGGCTCACTGCAAGCTCCGCCTCCTGGGTTCACGCCATTCTCCTGCCTCAGCCTCCCGAGCCCGGCCTGTTTTTGTATTTTTAGTAGAGACAGGGTTTCACCATGTTAGCCAGGATAGTCTTGATCTCCTGATCTCATGATCCGCCTGCCTCTGCCTCCCAAGGTACTGGGATTACAGGTGTGAGCTACCGCACCTGGCCACTTTTTTTTTTAGTAGAGATGGGGTTTCACCATGTTGCTCAGACCGGTCTCAAATTCCTGGCTCCAAGCAATCCTCCTACCTCAGCCTCCCAAAATGCTAGGATTACATGTGGGCACCATTATGCCCAGCTGTAATTTTTAAAAATTATTATTTAAAAAGAACAAAACACATAGATGCCCTAGACTCAATTCAGCTCTACTGATCAATCTTTAGGGGTTGAGCCTAGGCTTTTGAAATGTTAAAACATCCAGACAACTCTGATGACCAGTCAGGCTTAGTATCCCCCATCTCTACCACTCATATGGTACTTAATGTTTCATATTTAAATGGAAAGGACACCTCACACTTTTGTTTTTCCTATAGTTCCTACTCAAAGAATATGCCTAATAAAATATTTTATTAGAGTAATACAGAAGTGTGACTCCATTTTTCTCTTATATTTCATTTCAGTGTGGAAGGCTCCTTAGAAACACTATTAACATAACAGCATTATGTCAAAAATTGCCAGTAACATTCTCATCAACTTTTCTTTTTTTAAAGGCATTAGGTATAGCTAGACTGTAAAAGGCAAGTGGTGTGAAGCCCAAACCTAAGATCCTAAGATCTAGGAGGAGTCACGACTTCACAGTTGGCGAGCGCGTTGGCTCACGCCTGTAATCCCAGCACTTTGGGAGGCCGAGGTGGGCGGATCATGAGGTCAGGAGATTGAGTCATCCTGGCTAACATGGTGAAACCCCGTCTCTACTAAAAATACAAAAATTTAGCTGGGAGTGGTGGCGGGCGCCTGTAGTCCCAGCTACTCGGGAGGCTGAGGCAGGAGAATGGCGTGAATCTGGGAGGTGGAGCTTGCAGTGAGCCAAGACCGCGCCACTGCACTCCAGCCTGGGCAACAGAATGAGACTCTGTCTCAAAAAACAAAACAAAACAAAAGACTTCACAGTCTACATGAGTAAGTAGAGGCAGCATCTAGAGGAAAACAGAAGTATGTGGCTATCAAATTCCAAAGAAGCCCCATTTTATTACAGAGAAAATACAAAGCCGTTTCCTCACAGGGAAGAGTACAGTGTCCCTTCTCCAGGGTGACAGATGAGCCTTTTCCGAAGTTCTCAGCTTTCTCTTCTACCGAAACCTCCCATGTCGGTTAAAGTGTTTGTAGAGATAGCGGATGCGTTTATTAAGGTTGTGCAGGTCATCAGCGAACATTCTACTTCCAACCATTTTCTTCTTTCGGATACAACGTTGCAATTCATTCCCTTTCCAACCTCGAAGCCATATGGGCCCCCTGATCAGTTCTTTGGGGTGCTTTTCAAAGTTTCCTGTGTAATGTGAGAGAACACATTAGATCCAAGACAAGAGAACCCATCCTACACCAGTTAAGCTTTCAACCCACAGTTGCATCTTGCTTAGCAGCACCTATAGACAAGACACATCACAGTACAGAACAATAGCAGAGACTCTGGAGCCAGACTGCTTGGGGTTAAAATTCTTATACTATCATTTATTAACTTTGGAAAAATTGTTAACTTTTACTTATGAAGTAAAAATTATATGAGGGTACTCAGAACAGTGACAAACACAATGTAAACAGCTACATAAGTGTTTGCTCTTACTATTGAGCACAGTACCACTCTCTACACAGGAGAAAAAGATAGTCATTACAGAGTAATTGCTATTCTGAAATTGTGTACCACGTCGAAGGTCAAGTCGTACCCAGGATCCCGATGTTGTCATACACTCCGAACATGGCCCTCTTCTCGTTCCAACGATCAACCACTTTGGGGGGCGGGAGAGTGAGCCTTATACCGATCAATCTCGGCACACCTAGGGATGGGGAAGGGAGGGAATTAATCTGAGCCGCCTATTATACTACGAAGCAGTTATCCAGGTGTCTACATCAGCCACTTACCAAGAGAGAAGCTTCTGCACGCCAGAGGCACCCAGTTCCACAGGCGCCTGCCTGCCCCAGATAAGAGGCTCCCTGCCATTTCTCTAGTCTCCCCGCTTCAACAACACACCAAATAAGTCCAGGAGTGAGGGCCAGACGTGGCCCTCAAGATGACGACAGGAACCGTCCCCGCCGACTTCACACGAGGGCAGCCATCTTGGGCCTTACCCAGGTAGCCGTGGGCGCAGGGCCCACCTACGCCCCATCAACTACAGCCACAAGCCCCGCCCCCCGGGTTCCGGCCGGAGGGGCCTCTACCACCCTTCCCGCCTCATTGCTTCCGGTTCGCCCGCCGGAAGTTTTGGAGCGCCGGACGAGCTGAGGTCCGCAACTGGTCGCTAAGATTCCCCAAAACTGAGATTTCAAGAAAATTCACCCTTTCTGCTTTTTTTGACGTCCTTCAACTGTGAAGGAAATGAAGGTTGAGAACCTGGAACCCCCTTCCAAAGACCAAGCCCTTTCTCTGTGCCTCACAACAGGCTTGCGCTGTAGCTGTTTTTATTACCCCCATTTTACTACTGGGAAGGAAATTTGAGGCCCTGAAAGTGAAGTGACTTGCTGGACGTCACTTAGCGGAGGAGATGGAGAAACCTGGATTAGAGGCGATGTCTTCTAACTCCCAGCGTGGACTGGCCTCCTTTCCTGGGGGTGCCTGAATGATTCACTATTCCAGGGCACTACTACTGCCCAGCCAGGCACGCGACATCTCTGGCCGGCAGAAATACGGCCTCCTCCCCGCCGACTGGGCAAGGGGGTACCTTGCTGGAGCGGAGCCTTGGCACGCCCCCAGGCGGCGCTGTGATTGGCCGGCCGCTCCAGCGAGCGTCGCGATTGGCCCCCTGGCAGCCGTTGAAATTTGAACTCGGTATTTGTGGCTTTGCCCGCGCGTTGCCAGACTCAGAGGCTGCCCTTTGCCTCTGCCTGCCGGGGATTGGCCGGATTCTCCGCCAACTTGAAAACTGCCTTGCTAATTGGTGCGTGTTGTGCACGAGTGTTTTTTCCTTTTCATTTCAGCCTGACTGCCGGAGTCAGAGCCGCCGGTGAGATCCCCAGGTAAGATGTGGTGTTGCAGGTCGTAAAAGAGTAGAAAAATCGAGTACAAGGCAGTATGACCCAGTACTGGGCAATATACAATAGGCAGGGAGGTCTAGTAGATATATCCTTGGGGCGCAATGTGGGAGAAACTGTGAGTCTGACAGATCCGCAACGGAAGATGTTAAGCAAATCGCTTAACTTTCTTACTGCAATATCCGCTCTCTAAACTCATTTGTATTATTATGCACCTCATGGGATTGAGGTTAGGAGACTTAGATCAGATATGATGCATGCAAATAGCCTAACAGACCTGGCACAGGATAAATAAATCATCATTGTTAATGCTCTTACCATTCTGGTACAGGAAGCCCACTAGCCCATGCTGGGGCACTGTTCTGGCCTCAGATGAGATCGGACCATTCTCTACTTAAGGAGCTTTGCACATAAAAATGGAAATAATAATACTTTGCACATTAATATGTCACTTTATAGTTCTTTAAACACCTTTATACTGCTTGATTCGTTTGATCATCAGAGCAACTTTGTGAAGTAATCAGAGTTTAGTAATCCTGTTTTTACAGATAAAGTCCAGGGGTTTAAGTGACACGATCAAGTGCCAATGTCACTACTAGAATTAGTTTCTAGTCCAGGGTCAATCTCAGATCCTGTAAGATAATGTTACTAGCTTGCTATAAAACTAAAAGCCATTATATATGTTAGGGATGGGGAAGTAATAGAACCAGATAATGCTACTAGCTTGCTATAAAACTAAAAACCATTATATATGTTGGGGATGGGAAAGAAATAGAACCAGATACAAAAACAGGTCTTGAATATAGACCCTGACCTTTTCACTGTTTGGTTTCTAGCCCTGTGAGCCTGTAGGAGAAGAATGGCTCCCCAAATGTATGAGTTCCATCTGCCATTATCCCCAGAGGAGTTGTTGAAGAGTGGAGGGGTGAATCAGTATGTTGTGCAAGAGGTACTGTCCATCAAACATCTTCCACCACAGCTTAGAGGTAAGACTCCATAGCTGTCACTGTACCTTGCTCTTTCAAAGGACCGACCATCCCACATGGAATTGCTACATTGTCATTTCTGTTTCACTGCACCTGGAAGCATCATAAGAGCAAGAAATATGTTTTCCCTATTTTGCTGTTTTATCCTAACATTGCATGGGATGCATGACGCAAAGAGTACATTCATTAACTGCCTTTTCTAGATTAGTCAAAAACAGTTTTGGCGTATATGATTACTCTTTGGGGAAAAGTTATTTTCCATCTTTACCCCTTACTGTGTGTCCAAATTAAGTCCTGGTGGATTTAAGAGTTATAGGAAGGGATCGCTTTTTCAGAATGTCTGGAACTTAACCTGACCTGTTTTTGGTAATACCTTTTTAGAGTCTAGATATCTTCCTTCCGAGATGTACAATTATGGGGGAAAAAACCCATAATATATATGTACCATTGCAACACCGTGCAATATATGTACAGTGCAGTCACCTACTGAAACCTGTAAATGATCAAAAGCACCTTTTGCATTACCAGAAAGACTTCATAATGTCCTTGAGCTTGTTGGAAGCAGTCTTGTAGCAGCTAGGTTGCTTTGGAGAGGTATAGAGATTAAAGACTAGAGCCAGGCTGCCTGGATTTGAATCCTGGTTCTACTACTCTGACCTTGGACAAGTTATTTAATTCTCTCAGTGCCTTGGTTTCCTCATCTGTAAATATGGAGATTATAACCTACTTCATTTGTTATCACCTATAAGAAGAACGGTTGGTTAGTGCAACAGCTTAACAATATGGCCCCAGCTTGTCTCCTCTTGGCCTTTCTTTCACGGTTGCTAGATGGCAACTTCTTTTTCTTTTTCTTTTTTTTGAGACAGGGTCTCACTCTGTTGCCCAGACTGGAGTGCAGTGGTGTGATCTCAGCTCACTGCAACCTCCGCCTCCCCAGGCTTAAGCGATTCTCCTGCTTCAGCCTCCCAAGTAGCTAGGATTATAGGAGCATGCCACTACTGCCTGACTAATTTTTGTATTATTAGTAGAGACGGGATTTCACCATGTTGGCCAGGCTGGTCTTGAACTCCTGACCTCAAATGACCCATCCACCTCGGCCTCCCAAAGTGTTGGGATTACAGGCATGAGCCACTGCACCAGGCTAGATGGCAGCTTCTTGCTCTAATGTCCAGAAGTGGAAAAAGGAATTTTCTATCTTGTACTTTTTATTCTTTATTTTATTTTGAAAGACAAGGTAAAAACTCTCTTGCCCAGGCTGGAGTGCAGTGGCATGATCACGGCTCACTGCAGCCTCAACTTCCCAGACTCAAGCAATCCTCCCACCTCAGCCTCCCAAGCAGCTGAGATCACAGACATGCACCACCATACGTGGCTAATTTTTTTATTTTTTGTAGAAACGGTGTTTCCCTATGTTGCCCAGGCTAGTCTCGAACTCCTGGGCTCAATCAATCTTCCCGCCTCAGCCTCCCAAAGTGCTGGGACTGCAGGCTGGGGTACAGTGGCCTGATCACAGCTCACTGCAGCCTCAACCTCCCAGGCTCAAGCAGTCCTCCCACCTCAGCCTCCCAAGTAGCTGGGACCACAGACATGTACCAAAGTGCTGGGATCGTAGGCATGAGCCACCATGCCCGGCCAGCCTTTTTTGTTAAAAACTAAAACACACACACATTAGCCTAGGCCTACACAGGGTCAAGGTCATCAAGAAGTCACTAGACGATGGGAATTTTTCAGCTGTATTATATTTTTATGGCACCACTGTCGCATATGTGATCTATTGTTTACCAAAATGTTATAGGGCACAGGACTGTACAGGTAAGAGAAATAGAATTACCCAGACTGGTTAAACTGATCAAGATTATTACCTAGGAGCCTCCCTAAATTTGAGCATATCAACCATTTGGTAAGCAAGGAAGAAGGCAGAGTGTGGTGGTTGGCTAATGGATGGCAAACCAACAGTGTCCACAGGTATACTGTTCTGTCCATATCATGTGGATATATGTGTCACCAATTGAACATGCTGCATACTATGACAAATTGCTCTTCAGTTATTATAATGATGCATCATTTTAAAAAATGGTCACCTTTTTTTTAAGTTCCAGAGTACATGTACAGGAGATGCAAGTTTGTTACATAGGTATACATGTGCCATGGTGGTTTGCTGCACCTGTCAACCCATCACCTGGATATTAAGCCCAGCATGTATTAGCTATTTTTTCTTATGCTCCCCCTCCTGCTATTCCACCCCCTAACAGGCTCCATTGTGTTGTTCCCCTCCCTGTGTCCATGTGATCTCATTGTTCACCTCCCACTTATAAGTAAGAACATGCAGTGTTTGGTTTTCTGTTCTTGCATTAGTTTGCTGAGGATAATGGATGGAGTACCAGATCCATCCATGTCCCTGCAAAGGACATGATCTTGTTCTTGTCACATTTTTTTTTTTTTTTTGAGACAGAGTCTCGCTCTGTCACCCAGGCTGGAGTGCAGTGTTGCAGTCTCAGCTCACTGCAACCTCCGCCTCCCAGGTTCAAGAGATTCCCCTGCCTCAGCCTCCCGAGTAGCTGGAACTACAGGCACGTGCCACCACATCCAGCTAATTTTTTGTATTTTAGCAGAGATAGGTTTCACCATGTTGGTCAGGATGGTCTCAGTCTCCTGACCTCGTGATCTGCCTGCCTCGGCCTCGCAAAGTGCTGGGATTACAGGCGTGAGCCACCGCGCCTGGCCTGTTTAACAACAATATTAATAAAGTAGAGCAATTATAACTATGCCAGCATCACTATCCTTGCACTTTGGGGCCATTATTAAGTAAAATAAAGGTTCCTTGAGCAGAAGCCCTGCAATAGTTGATATGATAACCAAGGTGGTTCTACTAACGGGTGAGTAGGGTTGCATATACAGTGTGGATATGCTGGACAAAGGGATGATTCACATCCCAGGCAGGAGGCGGCAGGGCAGCACCAGATTTTATGCTACTGAGAATGGCACACAACCTATAATTTATGAATTGTTTATCTCTGGAATGTTTCTTTCTTTTTTTTTTTCTTTTAAGAGTCTTGCGTTGTTGCCCAGGCTGGAGTGCAGTGGTTCAGTCTCAGCTCACTGCAACCTCCACCTCCTGGGCTCAAGCAATTCTCCTGCCTCAGCTTCCCAAGTAGCTGCGACTACAGGCGAGTGCCACCACACCTGGCTAATTTTTTGGGTTTTTTTTTTGTTCTGGAGATGGAGTTTTGCTCTGTCGCCCAGGTTGGAGTTCAGTGGCAAGATATAGGCTCACTGCAACCTCCACCTCCCAGGTTCAAGCAATTCTCCTGCCTCAGCCTCCCAAGTGGCTGGAATTACAAGTGCCCACCACCATATCCAGCTAATTTTTTTTATTTTTTAGTAGAGCCAGGGTTTCACCATGTTGGCCAGGCTGGTCTCAAACTCCTGACCTCGTGATGTGATCTGCCCACCTCGGCCTCCCAAAGTTCTGGGATTACAGGTGTGAGCTGCAGTGCCCAGCCTATTTCTGGAATATTTCATTTAATATTTTCAGACTTGAGATTGACCACGGGTAACTGAAACCTCAGAAAGTGAGAACACAGATTGGTGAGGACCACTGTATGTCAGATGGTTGTAAGAGCCAAAGAGAAAAATAAAGAAGACAGTGTGGCCAGGCACAGTGGCTCAC